GAGAGAGAGAGAGAGAGAGGAAGACGCAGGCAGACAAAAGAGATCAACATCCGTGTTCTATGATCTATAATTGAGTTAACTAACGTCTATCTTTGCCCGATACCAACAACTGCGCATTAGTTGGTACGCGTTCTACATTCACAGTGTAACACTTGAGAAGGCAGGTATCATTATCGTTTATAATTCCCCTTAATCTTCCTACTGTTCAACCACGATCCTGTCGCAGATAATGAACGATACCGAGCAGCATAATCGATTAATAATCGTGTCGAAAGAAGCTGTAAATCTCTCGACGGAAGAGCGCGTACGCTGTTCCTGGTCTTTAATTACATTTAAAATACATCCGTTACGGAGCGATTATTACGGAACCGTGGGCGTAATTGCTTTAATAGAATTCAAACACTTGTTAAAGGGGTAGAACGTATATATTGTCGAAACACATTCCAGGACGTCGGCTTCTTCGGCTTCCTTCAATTCCAAACGGCTAACTGGATGTGAGAATCATGGCAGCGCGAGTTATAGTTCATTGATAAGACAGTGTTCTAGGTTTGTTTTTGTATCTTCGAGAAACTAGTATTACGGTATACTGATTGTGAAGTATTTTGATACGAATATTATCCACATACTGCGTCAAAAATATAAATACCAGAGAATCTTATCTCCCTACTTTTACTTACGTCCTGCAAAAATAATGCAACATTTTGTGAGACAAATGTGTCAAATCGACGCAAGACTCGAACGAATACTCGTAAGAATCGAAGTATACGTGTGATAACAAAGTCACGACTAACGCCGCTATTATTTTCAGCTGATTATTTGCAAAAGCCTGCGAAGCGAAGCTTAACGTATCGATAGTACAGATGGATGACGTATTCGATTTTTATGGTCGGACCGACGACTGGTTGGTTAATTTCCAATCGATCATGGTCTCGACGATGATGCGTACGTAGCAGTGGCGGGCGTTATCGAAGAACGAATTGATGTCAGGCAAAGCAAAGCATCTTGGTACCGTTACGTTTCAATGTATGAGCTAGTTGCCCGACCCAAAAGTCGGTCACAGTCATAGCCTAATGTAACAGCCCGTTTTCTTCTAAGACACCTCACGCTCTTGGCTTCTCTTTCTCGTCTTCTCTCGCGCTGGCTACCTAACGAAACCCTCGCCAACATTCCAAGGTTCTTTGACTCGCAGCGTGATTAAATCGGGACATAGCTGACCCGAGCTATCTCATAGCTGGAACAGACACGCCCGCATGATGAACATCATCTGTGGCGGACGTGTTAAGAGAAAAGTTGCAACGAAACGGCGATGATAATCCTTGCTTTTTATTTGCCTTGCAATCGCGAAAGGATCGTTATTGATTAACCATTCAGGGACAACGTCCGATTCTCGTGTGCTACGATCACCTCTGCCTGAAGTTATTCGTATCGTGAAATTACGAAGAAGAATCTAAATGATTAATAGAGAAAATGGCACAGAAACATTTTGACAATTTCTCGTCTCGCGCCGATGAAAATTTCCGAAAGCTAACTCGCTAATAAAACACAGACGATTGATCTGATGTATGAAAACTAGAGTAGAGAGATGATGAGGTCGTCGATGCTGTTGCCTTCATCGTCGTAACACGCTTCTCGCGGGATATTTACTTTCTTCTTGGCAGCGGAGGTTGATGGCCGTAGCGAGTGAAAATCGACCGTAAAATTATGTACAAACCCGGGGCACCCCTGCTTTCAGGTCAGTCGGCCAGTTCCCTTGTCCAAGATGTCCTACGTGTTCGGTGTGTCCTTCCGCGTAGAAAATGTGTGCTACCGGAAGCGTCGTCTGAGTCACGACCGTGGAAGAAAGTTACCGATTTCATTACGCACTTGTTGGAATTTCAGTCGTGGCCTTATCGAGCGTGTACGCGTTGCGAGCGCACGCCCACGCGAATTCGTATCATCGTCCGAAAGGATTTCACTGGCGATAATAAGCTGCTCCGTCGAATACCGGAAAGCAATTAATCTGAACGAATGTATTATTCAAGGTATTTTTATACTTTTACGAATCCAGAAGTAACGGGGGTTTAACTAACTAACGTAATAAAATATTCTACATAATTTCAACGTATGCTGTAAAATGTTTAATCTGTTTAATCGTGAAACAATTATTGCACAGCATGAACAATTATTTGAAACATGTAATAGATATTGACAATCGTCCTATTGACTATTTAAATGTAATTACTAACGCTTTAGTAACGCGTGTCAAATACATGCTTGCAATAAATATCTTGTTTCTTCTCGTGAAATTCGTCATATATTTAGCTATAATTCGTGTCAACAATATTGCAATATATTTTCTATATTTCTATATAATTATCATAATTCACGATGTGATCGAACAGATCATTTGATAAGAGAATTTGTCAGAATCAAAAAAATGCTATTAGTAGTCAAGACACGGATGCACGGTGTATGTAAATAAACATTGATAAAAGATTTCTATCTGCAAATCGAATTCGAACACTTTCGCGAGCCACTGTAATTTCAATTGTGCCAATAATTTCGTCAGGCCAAACTACACTACTAGTGTCGATTAAGATTTTCAGCTGAAATGGCTGATTGCTTCGAGGAATGGCTTGAATGAAGCGATCGGAATACCGACAAGATCGGAAAAATCAGTGTAAGTCGCGTGCACCCCGGATGACCGGGACTGGCCTACTTTTATAGAAAACTGACCAGTTCGCCCACGTTTCGAGTTCGTACGAACTCGAATCCAAGGTAGGTTCAATGTCGTCTTGCGTGCGTGTGCTCCAACACATCGGGGAGTGTACGCGTATGCGAGTGGTTAGCCCTGCCCAAGCGGAGTATTTGCGTACCGATCCGTTACTCAGCTGACACTCCAGAGGAAAATCCAAGAATCGCGGAACGAAAACAAGGAGGGAGAAGAAAATTTGTTCGCCCTGTTTGCAGAACAGAAAACGTGTGCGCAACCCGAGCTCGTAAACCCACGTGAAACAATGACTTTGAAGGTTTCATTGGCGCTGCAACGAGACACGGCCATCGTGATTTTGCATTCAGAAAATTTGAAACGAATTTGAAAATGTGCACAGCAGCTGCAGAGATGTATCTGGCGATGGTGCAGAGAAAAATGAACGTGTACCAAGTGAATTTTTCATTCAACAAGTTCAAACTCTATTTCTTCTCTGAGAATGAAACGTTGCACGAAAAAGTGTGTTATACTTCCTTTTCAGCTTATTCTTCCGCGTAAAATTATTCCTCAACACAAAAGTGTTTAAACTAGCTAATTATCCATCATGTCGGTAATATTTAATGTTTGGAGCCATGTTCTCGACATTTACCGTTTGCAACGTATTGTTGAGTTTCCGCGAAATTTAGTTATTATTTGTGATGTAATTTTTGTAACTTGCTATCGATGAAATTTCGAAATGTTTTACTCAGCGCGTACAAAAAAAAAAATGTGTACGTAAAAATTTTTCGCGATGAGTGTTCGAAATTACACAGCCCTGTATCGAACGAACGAGAGTTTTACGACATTGGTTCGATCATTCCCACATTAGAATACGTTTAACTGTCTTTCAGAAGTGAAACGAATGCCCGGCGCGAGTTTCACTTCGTTTTCATGTACCGGTTGAAAGGCTCGCGCACGCGCGATATTTTCAGTTTGTGAATAATACGATATTCAGTCGAAGCGAGACTTACTTCCTGGAATAAATTGCGGGACATAGATTGGGGAAGCGGTGACGATATTCAGCAGCACGTTGGCCAGGAGGACGACGATCCAGGTTTTCCTTTCGCGATCCCACATCTGGAAAAAGAAACACGGGAAAAGAATATGAATCTCAGACGAGCGCAAACAGCACGTAAGAGCACTTAGAGTGGTTATCTGTGTGTTGACGTGTCCGTAAGAGTGTCATTCCTTTGATGAATTCCTGGGAAAATTCTCACGAATTAACGAGGGTGTCCTCTTCCATCCTGATTAGTCTACGCTTTCAAATATTTCGCTGTACGGACAGTTGAGTTATCCGTATCTTTCTCTACTTGGAGTCGTTAGTATCGATTTGAAGTTGGAAATCAAAGGGTGCGAGGCTTGAACTCTATTGTAGACGAGATTCACCCGTGTTAATTAGTGAGAGTTATTAGAATCGTAAATAAGATGTTAAAATAATTGCGACGTTACGTTTAATACGATGACTTGGACAAAAATTATTCGGATAAGATACCAGCGCATTATCGAAATTGCTGTAAATTTCGTCAAGTGAATTTCTGATCGGTCGCGATCGTGAGTAAGAAAGAAGTACATACATGGATAGTCGTTTAATCTTAAGCAGCAGAGACGATCGATTATCGCAGGAAATTATTCGAAAGATAAGAGAGAAGTATCAAGATCGTCATGACTACGTCTTCGCGGGAATGGAAAGGTTCGCGAGTGAACGACCTTGTGAGAACAGACATTCGTTTTCAGCAGCAGCACCGCGATCTTACCCACTACTTGAAAGCAACAATAACAAATTCTTCCATTTTCTCGGCGACGTTGAGTCGTAGCACTTTCCACGTGTCCTTCCTTTCTGCCCGCCTCGACCATGTTAACGTCGTTCACGGCGCCAGGCTCGTGGTTATTCGTTACTCATCGTGCAAGAACAAAGTTACAGTTATTCAGAAGCAAGAATTCGGCTGTAACGTTATATATCCTGTCCAGTTGAACGAACGAATCGACCTTAGACTTACCGATCTCGGAGGGGGATGTTCGTATTATTATTTTCGATAGCTTTTCAATCTTTTTTCGACCGTTGCATTTTTATCTCTTTGTATCTCTTCGGAGATGAAGAAAGCAAGAGAAGA